AGAGTAACAAAAGAATGGTCGAGGTAATTAATCTTGCCCACAAAGCCCTCTGCTTGAGTGTATTTGCTCAGACAACATGAGATACCCCAGGAGTGCTTGACGGGGCTGAAAGTGCTTCAGAAAGGGCCAGACGCTGGGTGGGGGGCTTTTAACAGCAACTCTGGGCACCTCAGCTGGGGCTCAGTCCTATTTGCTCTGTGGCACCGGCCCAACGCTAATGGTGCACTCAGCTTTTCTCTAAGGCAAGGGATAGTGGCAGCCTTCTCCCCTCCCCTCCCAACCTGTTGCTTTGCAGAAGAAAGCCCAACACGGAGGTCATCCCTTTTAATTCCCATGAAACGACTATGCTTTTTTTTTTTTTTTTTGAGATGAGCCTTGCTTTGTCGCCCACACTGGAGTGCAGTGGCGCGAACTCCACTCCCTGTAACCTCCGCCTCCCGGGTTCTAACAATTCTCCCGCCTCAGCCTCCAGAGTAGCTGGGATTACAGGTGTGCACCACCACGCCCGGCTAATTTTTGTATTTTTAGTAGAGACAGGGTTTCACCACGAACTCCTGACCTCAGGTTATCCACCCGCCTCAGCCTCCCAAAATGCTGAGATTACAGGCCCGAGCCACTGCGCCCGGCCTATGACTATGCTTTTATAGTGGGTTTGCTTTTTTAGGAAGGAGAAGCTACCAGGAGCCCAATCTATAATGCGACTCAGGTCTGATTAACACCTTACTCTTTCAGGTTCCAGCTCCCAGACCCCGAAGTGCTCCTGGGTTAGACGGCCAAGGGAGGGCCCTGCGCAGGAGGGACACGGTCCCTTTGTTTTAAAACACGGTGCCACTTTCTGGCTGGAGGGGTTACCTACAATGCCCATACTGAACCTTACCGGCCTTCCCGTTCTGGTCAGCTCAGCATCTCCAGGTGTCTGGATCCAAGGTCGCCAGGGCGCGGGGCTGGAACGGCAAGCGCCAGAGAGAGTGAACCCTGGGCACTTCTGCTGCCTTCACACTATGCCAGGAGAGTTAATCTTATTTCCAGTGCCTGCCTGAAAAAGAGGCACCGGACCCCCCAGGAACTTTCCCTCAAGTTCTCAGGGCTGTGGATAAATTACTGTCATTTGTGTTTTTTTCTCTCCTGCTACGTCCCCAGTTCTCTGCCTCCAGTTAAGCTTTGAGAATGGAAGTCCTGAATCTCACACTATTATCCGGGAACCCATTAGTTGAGAGATTTCTCTCCCAGCAAATCCTGGCTGAATTCTTCAATTCGGGGTTCCCCAACTATAGCTGGCGACTTTGTCCCTGGTTAATTTCAATCACGCCACCTCGGTCACTGAAGGAGCTTGATTCTACAGAGATGATTTTACAGGGTTGTAGGATGAAAAACAAGCAAACAAAAAAAGAGGGCTGGGCGCGGTGGCTCACGCCTCTAATTCCAGTACTTTGGGAGGCCAAGGTTAGTGGATCACTCGAGGTCAGGAGTTTGGCCAACATGGCGAAACCCCGTCTCTGCTAAAAATACAAAAATTAGCGGGGCGTGGTGGTGGGCACCTGTAATCCCAGCTACACAGGAGGCTGAGGCAGGA